AATATCGTTTTGTTTTGAAAATGAGTCGGCTTGCCTAGTTCCACGATAGGCGCCATCACGACAAGGATTAGTTTTGGGTCGTGACACTTTGCCTTTAAACTGTACATATGCTTGAGCTGCCCCAGCAATTTATAGAAGTTACCCTATTTCTGTTTCACCAGACTTGAGGTCCAGGATGGTCCATTCCTCCATTGTCAACAAGCCTATTGTTCAGAATAACCTGCATAACATCCTTTGATAATGAGGAAGAAAACAGAAAAAAATAAGATAATCAACGGGGTTATATAGAATTACAACAAACATAAGAGCCTTTAGTGATCAAATTTAGAGCTTTCTGTTCCATTATAACATGTGTAGATAATAAATTGCGTCGAAAAAATAAAATCAAGACCGAAAATATTACAACAATTGTAGTATTTTATTTCAAATATTTGAGTGTTACAATCTATATGAATCCTTTGATTCATCTTTCCAATAGTAAATAAAAGAGCCTTTGATATTAATCTTGAATTTTATTTTATTTTAATCCGAATGCTTGAAGTCTGATCTTGATCTTGACGTATTTTTAATCCAAGAGCTTGCAACTTGATCTTGATCTTTTTAATCCCTAGAACACTTGAATGCTTGTAGCTTTTAGAGAAATATGCAGCGTTTGATCCACGAGCTCTCTCTTGATTCTTGTTATAACTATTGGTGTCTTCTCTGACTTATGAAAACCCCTATTTATAATTGTGGGAGGGAAGAGTTATGATGAGAACAAACTCTTTCCGACCAATCAGATCAAAGAGTGACAAGGCCGCATTTGATTGGCCAGAACGTGTCACTTGCACATGTGGCGTGATTTCATTGGCCTTTTAATTTGACTTGACATGCCTTGTCATTTTGACACATGGTATAATCCTATTGGCTCTTCCGTTTGACTTGGAGTTGGCGTGCCACGTCATTAGACGCGTGACACCAAATTGGGCCTCTAGGAAGATGACATCTTGAGCTTAATGAAGTGGGCTCATTACTTTAGCCCAATTAAATGTGGTAGCCAATGGATTAAGACTTATTTATTTAATCCATATATGTTGGACTTATATAATTAATTCAATTATAATAACCCATAATATTTATTTGGATTAGTATATTTAAAGAAACATGACTCATACCCAATTTCAACGAGTCATGTTTCGTTATGCACATGAAGATTATTTGTGCCCCTACTTATACTTATGATTTTAGAACTGTGACGTCCACATAAAGATAATTAAATTGCATTACCAATTTGGCCTTTATATTTTTAGATATTTCATCTTATTCTTCTGGGTTTTCATTTTCTTTTCTTGTGTGTAATCAATCAACTGTTGAAAATTCCATGTTTGTTGAGCATTAATGTGTATCAATTAAGTCCAAATAAAGCAATAGGGTCAGCAAGTTGACTCTAGTGCTACCATAGCCAAATTATATCTGACTGTATTTTGGATTGACGCACAGTTGATTTTGGATTGATATTCTCAAATTTAACAAGAAAACTAAGTTTTACGAAATTCATTTCCGTTTTTTATCTGAAATCTTTTTTGTTATCCATTTTTTAATTTTTTTACATTGATAGTAAGTTTAGTCTTGCGCAATTAAAATACTTAAAAATCAATTGCTGTGAACTTCTTATAGGAGGTATGAATCGATAATCTTAAATTTGATACTTTACAATTGGTTAAAAACTATAGTGATGTGTACATAACTTAATACCAAATTTAAACGACACTGGTGTATGTAAATAACTTGATTCCAATCTTAATTCTGAGCGGGATCAGTGATTCACGCCTGAACTTCAGCTAAAATACAAATTGGTCTGACTTAGTTACAGAACCTTGTGACTTTCTAGATTTTCATAAACTTTGTACCAAAAAGACAAAGCTTTAATCTGTTATCGGCAATTTTCTTCTTTTCTGACCATCTTTGGCATTTTGGCTGAAGCCAATTGGATTTTGACAGCTGGCCGTAACATGAAGCAGAGCAGAGTTTGACCCGTAATCTTTTGGCCCACAAGAATGAATTGGCTTTGAATCAGTTTTGCCAGGAAATTAAATCGTATATAGCCAAAATTAACTTTTTAATTGATTATTAGTGCAGTAAATTTTATTTAAACAAGCAAAATTTCTAACGCAGTAATAAAAAGAGTTCAAGAAATGTTTTAGATTATGGATTCAAACTTCCAACTGTGACCTTTTTAGAATTTTTTGAATCCCATCCCAATATAAATAAATGGATCTTTAACAAATCTAAAATGAAGCAGTAGATCTCACCGCCACTTTAATGATTGGCAAGTGGCAACATGTTCCAACCAATTGTTAGTTGTTAGCATCAAATAAATATTGAAATTCTTAGGAGATGAACAGAACATAAATACTAAGAAGCCCACAAGAAGATGATTTTTGAATTCTTGGCATTAGCAATTGAGCATGCATGTGCGTTACAATTGATGCTTGATCAAACTTGGGATTTTGTGATGCCAAATAACAATTTTTTTTAAATCTTAGCATCTTGTCAGGGAACAAATTTTAACTACAAACTCAAACTAAAGACTATATTATATCCGCTGACTACATTAAGTATTATATCCAAGAACATCACCTAAGTCTTGTTGCATTTTTGCGAGATACACTAACGAGGACGATCCAAGATTTAGATTTTAATAGGTTTAAGTTTATAGCATTAAATTTACTGTACTTTTAAATTTAAGAGTTTAAATATTTATTATAATTTCAACTCAAAACCTCTAAATTGGTATCATTTTTATAACTGGACTGCATCGTGGTGAAAAGATGCCTAATTTGCTGTCTTCGAGACTCCAATTAACTGGTGGGTTCGTGCTTTCCTTTTTAACATTATTTTAAAAGAAGAATTCCAGTTGCATGTGAAAGGGTGACAGGGGCTAAGTCCTTACTTCATCAATATATTTGTCCACTCTCACTGACAACTCACAAGCGCTACTTTTCTCCTTTCTTTTTCTCTACTGTTTTCCCTCCAGCTTTTCCATTTTGGAGAAGAAGGGGAAGCAGAAAAGTACATTTTCTTTTCAAGCATTTCAAAAAGAAACACTAAAGTAACAGAATGAGGGAGAAGAGCAATGTTCATTCTGCCATTCTCACTATCCTTGTGTTACTTACTCTACAAAGGGTATATTGTGACAATCCTTACCGATATTACACTTGGAAAATCACTTACGGAGACATTTATCCTTTGGGTGTCAAACAACAGGTAAATCTCATTCTTTAAATATATGTTTGTTGAAATTTCTTGGATTCTTATTGATGCGATTTTAACACTCTGTTTTTGACAATGTTGGTGGCAGGGGATCTTGATTAATGGGCAGTTTCCAGGGCCACAGATTGACTGTGTTACAAATGACAATTTGATTATCAGTGTCTACAACTACTTGAATGAGCCTTTCCTCATTTCTTGGTATGACTTTAATATAAGTGTATTCCCTTTTTCTTTTTTCGTTCCTAATCCCCTGTTAATGTCATTTAGATAAAGAAAACACAATTCTTTTTAATGCAGATCTATTCAATATTTTGCCTCCTATGTACGTTCATGAATAATGAAATGTCTATGATAAAACCATTTTCGTCTCAAATGTTTCTCCAAAAATATGTTCGTGTTTGTTCCTATTTTTTTTGGACATAGTGTTTTCTGTTATTCTTAATACGAGTGTATAATAATAGTATAGAAAAGTGCACATCTTTGTAGCAAAGGAATGCAACTTTTCGCGAAAAGCTAAATGCTGTTCTTGGAAAGAAAGAGATGGGGGTAAGGTTTTGTCTGTAGGGTGTGATGTGCTTTTTGGTCTAGTTTACAACTGATATATTAGCTGTAGGAATTAGAATTGTTTAATCATTTGGATGCTGGTCCATGTGAGTAGGTCCTGGTCCTGTTATCTCCTTTTATTTTTAGTTCTCAAACTTGGCTTTCATGTAGCGCCTAGTAATCAATAAAAAAGGGATAAAAATTATATTAACACCAAAATTCATATCTCACATAGACCCAACAAAAAAAGCTAAGTGATTTTTCTCCATAATGGAAAAAGTTATTCAGTACTTAGTAAAATAACAGTATTCATTAAAATGGTCAAGATATGCACCCATTATTACGGATTCCTTATAAAGAAACTAATGAGCAGGATTCCTTATTGAGACAGGGAATTAATATGGTATGGGGGGGAGGGGGACGATTCTTTGGTACATAAAAGAAACCCATTACCCACGTGCTAGATCTCTAGATCTCTGACATGAACTATTACGTACAAAATTAATTCCAATTTTATATGTGGAATACAATGAGCCACACACCTAGAGAACAGAGAGAAAGTGGCATGTCTTCTTTCTGTAGGGCCTAAGTGATGTATTTTATTAGCATTATTATTGTTGAGGAAAGTGAAATAGTTATTAGCGCTATCTTCGGCTGAATGAAGGCTACAGAAGTCTAATTCCACCAGATTGTGCAATCACCAATTAACGCTGACTTGCTGAGTACCAAAGAAATCTTTCAAGGATATATTGTAGACCTTAAAATAAATTCTAAAAAGTACTTATAAGCATGCAATTCAATATAGTATTAAATCAGGTAAAGATTTTTGGTTCGAATTTCACCAGTGACCACTAGTAATTTTTTTTATATATACGTGGTACAATGGAAAAAGAAACATGCCTTGCAATAGTTTAAACTTTTAGATAATGTTGTTTACGCAATTCACCATGATACAATCTTGTTTGTAAATTACCATACATATACATTGAAAATGTAGAGGAAGTAGAAGTAATTGAAGGAAAATTCGAAGATTTATTGCAGAAAGAGCTGAATTGATAACATTTCTGTAACAACTAGAAATAGGCTGGTATAGTTCATCTTAGCTTCTTTCATTTACTCTAAATCTCTTGCTGCATAGGTTAGTCTTGTAGTGTACCATAGATTAAATTGGTCTATGTTAATAGCAACATTAGTCACATGACAACCTTTTACTCTTATCATCTCTATAGAGTAGTTAGCAGTAATTTTATGAGCTTATTGGTATGTACTAACTCAAGAATTATTCAACTGGCAATTTCTTTTCTTTTTTTGCTTTCTGACAATTCAAATTTGTTGGCAATTGTTTCAGGAATGGTTTACAACAAAGGAGAAACTCATGGCAAAATGGAGTTTATGGCACAACTTGTCCAATTCCACCTGGGAAAAACTTCACTTATACCCTCCAAGCAAAAGACCAAATAGGTAGTTATTTCTACTTCCCATCACTAGCAATGCACAAGGCAGCAGGGGGATATGGTGCCATCCGAGTCTATAGTCGTCCTCGAATTCCAGTACCTTTCCCTCCACCTGCTAATGATTTCACTGTACTAGCTGGAGACTTGTACAAGAGAAGTCACAGGGTAAGCCCCATCTGTTTGGCTCAATTATCATATTTGTTGTTACTTTTACAATAATATTTTGGTGCTAAATTTACATTGGAATTTGATTCTTGCAGCAACTGAAGTACATTTTAGATAGTGGTCATAATCTTCCTTTACCTGATGGTCTTATTATCAATGGTCGGGGATGGAACGGATACACATTTACAGTTGATCAAGGTTTCTAACTGAAATTTGCTTACATTAATCTTGCTTTTACTATGCCTTGTCTTGTTAATGTTTTCAGCTTCAGAAACCTTAGTTCTCCAACTCAATGTGCAGGTAAGACGTACAGGTTCAGAATATCTAATGTGGGGACTGCAACATCAATTAATTTCAGAATTCAAGGGCACACAATGAAACTAGTTGAAGTTGAGGGATCACATACACTCCAAACCACCTACACTTCACTTGACATCCATTTAGGACAGTCTTATTCAGTTTTAGTCACTGCTAACCAGCCTCCAAAGGACTACTATGTCGTGGTTTCTTCACGCTTTACTAGACGAGTTCTAACCACCACTGCTGTTCTTCACTACAGCAACTCATGGACACAAGTCTCTGGACCTGTCCCTGGAGGGCCTACTACTCAAATTAATTGGTCCATTTACCAGGCCAGATCTATACGGTAATACATCTTCCTTATGTCTAACTTTCATGTTGAAAAGATAAGTCATTACTTCATATGGTTAGTTAAACTATTGGTAGAAATCTGCTTATAAGATACTCGTTGGAAGTACTGAAGTTATTTATCTTGTTCCAAACAAAGGCACATTTTGCATGGATGGAATGAAGAAAAATTGATACATGAATGCTTAGGAAGTATCACTTTCATTCTAAAATCTCAAAAACTCTTCTTTGGTTGTTTGTCAAATCAGTTGGAATCTAACTGCAAGTGGACCAAGGCCAAATCCTCAAGGTTCTTATCATTATGGGTTGATCAAGCCTTCGCGTACAATCATTCTTGCCAACTCTGCCCCATATATAAACGGCAAACAGAGATATGCTGTCAACAGTGTCTCGTATGTTGATCCGGACACACCATTAAAGCTGGCTGATTACTTCAAAATTGGGGGAGTGTTCAACCTTGGTAGCATCTCTGACCAGCCCTACAATGGAAATGGTTATCTTGGAACCCCTGTTATGGCTGCTAACTTCAGATCTTACGTTGAGATTGTTTTCCAAAATTGGGAGAACAGTGTCCAGTCATGGCACATTGATGGCTATTCTTTCTTTGTTGTCGGGTAAATCATCTCTTTATCATCGTACATGTCAAGAAACAAGAAAACTTCTCTTTATCTTCACTAAAGCATACTACACATTTACTCCTCTTGATTCTTTATCTTTGTGAATGAACAGTATGAATGGTGGACAATGGACTCCAGCGAGCAGATCGCACTACAACTTAAGGGACACGGTTGCACGTTGCACCACTCAGGTTTGTCAAAACTTCTACTAGAATGATAGTGCACATAATCTCAACCTTGTTCTAGGCCAATACATCCTTGAACTTATGTTTCCAATGTATTTGTATGATGTAATTCAGGTGTACCCCAAGTCATGGACTGCAATATACATGGCATTGGATAATGTAGGAATGTGGAACATAAGGTCTGAGGATTGGTCAAGGAGGTATTTGGGACAGCAGTTCTACTTAAGAGTTTACTCCTCATCAAATTCTTGGAGAGATGAACTTCCAATACCAAAGAATGCTCTCCTTTGTGGCCGAGCTAGACATCACCGCACTAGGCCTCTTTGAAACAGTAATAATTCTAATTTTCCGTCACGAGAGGGTGACCGGCTTATATCAGTGTAAACCAAGGGAAAGATTTAATCTGGGAAGAGTGAAGAAGCTGAGTTATGATTTATGGTCTCTTCTTTTCTTTCTATATGATATGTATCCTATTTTCTATTGTTGCAATTGATGGAATGTATCATTTCACATTTCATTTTTTCCAAACTTTTGGTTAAATGCCAAAAAGATAAGCAGGGAATAACTTCTTTACTTCAAAGGAAGAGTATATCTTTATTTATTAAGTTCTTAATCCCATTGCTCCTTGACAAATGAGTATGAACAAGAGTCTTGTGGTGGAGCCAAACTAGAAAAAGTACCTCTGATCTATTGACCGATCAACATGTTTATTAGAAGAAATTATCACGAATGAAACATGATTTGGTAAGTTGAATTCCTATTTAATGATCGATCTACTAGTTTATTCAAAGAAGTTATCACGAATGAGATCATTGCATGCCACGGTTATGTAGGAAAAAGTTAAAACTACCATTCGGATGAGAGGGAGTTTGGTTCTCCAGAAAGAATGTAACAATTGAATACCTTGAGGTTTGTTTCCTTATACCAATGCTCAACATAGTCAGCAGTGTCATACCTTTTAAAAAACATTGCACAAAATGTATGGGAGCAGGGTATGCCTTTCACTTGCCACATTCTACATGTACACTATTCCTTTACAAAATCAACTATGTATTTGTAAATTCCATCATGGATCTCAAATCTAGTGTCCTCATCCCATTTATATTCATGTTTGGTGACTCTTATAGATTGCTCTTCAATGTACCCCATTGCCATATGAGATATATCAGAATTCCACTTTGTAGCAAATTCTCACATATTAGTCATCCTCTCCATTACCTTCACTCTAATCTCTTCCAACATGGTTATAATTGACTTGTGCCTAGAAGTAAGTATCCAACTGTTGAAGGTCTCATACATATTGTTCTGCACCATGATTGTTTGGGATATCTAAGAAAGTCTTCTATTATCTTATTGCCACACAATTCCCAACTCATCTAGTTTAACCTTCAGAAATGCTTCAAATGAAGCTCTTGCACAACCCCATAATTTTTTCCTTCTTTTCCCACCACTTTAGGTTTTCTTCCGGTTACTCCATATGTGCCTTGCACACATTCTATGCTCAGTATTTGGCATCAATTCAGATACAGCTTGAACAAGTCCCTTGAACAATAAAAATACACTATTAGAGTTCATATAATGCAAGCTTAAGTATTAAAGTAAAAAATAAAATTAAAACAATACACATACCTTCCGCATATCAGACATAATTGTTAGCCCTTCACCTTCAAATTCTGTCAGTTTCAAGTCCTCCATTAAACAGCTAAAAAACCATGATCAATTGTTTTTGATCTCTTTCTCAACCACTGCCCAAGCAACAGGGTACATCTGGTTATTACTATCCTTAGAAATGCATGACAATAGCTCACCTTTACACACTCCCTTCATAAATGCACCATCAAAGCCAATTATATTTCTACACCCTTCTAACTAACATGTTTTCAAAGCATGTAAACAAATGTATATCCCCACAAAGACCTCTTTACCAGGTTCTGTTTATTTTGAAGTCCTCACCACAACAGCGTTGCTAGGGTTAGTAGTTCTTATCATGTCAGCATAATCATAAATCCTAGCAAACTCTATTTTGTAATTACCTAAATACTTATCCATTACCTTCTGTCTAGCTCTGGCACATACAGTTTTTCCTACATACACACCATACTTAATCCTTATCAACTCTGCAATTTCTTGAGCTTTATGTCAGGATGATTAATAATCTTATATTTGTAATATTTAACTATCCAAGCTGTGTTAGCAAGCTTGTTCCTTGTGACCGGGAAGCATGAATGGACAGGGTAGTATGTGTTAACAATGAAGTTATGTGTGTGACCCTATAAACTGCCTAAAATATACCATCTACATCTACTAGAGTTCAAACATGTTTTCCTGACCCTATTCCTCTCATTTGGTATTAACTTTAACTGAACTCTCCTCTGTACATCATAGTCTTGTAAAGCAAATCTAAATTGTCTAACATTTTCAAAGACAATTCCGAGTTGGAAAATAATTTTCTTACAGTTAGGGTCAAAGTAGACCTTTCTACTGTATCTTCTTGGAGGAAAGTTCTGCACCTCATCATCTGCATCTACATCATCATTAGTACTATCCTTACTCCCTGAATCTGAACTGTCTAGGTACTGCTCATCCCCTCCCAATTTACCAGCATATTTAGCAGTCTTATCCTTGTAAATGTCTTCAAATCCAGGGTCAATGCCTACTAGGCCACTAGGTTGCTCATCTACATTAACATCACTTGATCTCTCTTTTCAGTTCTTCTGATTTACTTTGATCTGTCTAGCAGCAACAAGGTCAGCTTCTATATCACTTGTCTTTCCAACAACACCCTCATCAACATCATAAAGTGACTCATATGTATCCTCTTCAGTAGAACCACCCTCATACTCACCATCCTCACTCTCAGAATTACTCTTAAATTCATCACAATCTGAATCTGTGGCTGGATTAAAGTTATAGAACTCCCATTCATCCTCAGTATACTCTTCTATATCAGCAGCCCTCCCTTTACCCTTTGTCTCAGTGAAACAACCACTATTTATATCATTGGTAGGTGAGTTTGTTGCCCTAGCATTAGCTCTACTTGTTTGCCTTTGTGGCACTTCACTAAAGCCAACTGTTTGGTCATATGGAATATCACTAGGGTCCACACCACTACTTAACATTTCATCCAATTCAATATCAACACATGGTATATTAATAGTGTGACATAAATAAATATCAATAAAATCCCCATCATGAAGGTATTTGCAGAATTCTAACACATCAGCATCATACTTAATAAATTGAAATGCTCCTTTTTTATTGACTTGACATGCAAATTTCTCCAAACCTAAGTACCCCATATCATTTGCCTATTTGTTGAATTAAATAACATGCAGTTCATCAATGTTAGCAGTTACAATAGTAGGCCATGTTATACTATTTTCATACCTCATTAATGGGCCAGCTACATGTTATTCCTGATGGTGAAATTGTAATTTCACAAGAACAACCATCCTGCCTCACCTTACTACGCCTATGAAGAAGATAAGATAAGTCCAAATTAGTAAAATATTTAAAAGAAAAAGACAATATTGTCTGAACATATCTTTGAAAAAGAACAAGCAAATGCGGGAAAAGAACCCTAACTTTATCACTTTAAGAGACAAAAATTTTTGATATGATAAAAAGCCCTAATATTTTAACCCTATTTGCCAAATCAGCCATGGAACCGACAAAATTCAGAGAAAAAATAAAAATTTAGTGTGTTATTCCAAAAATCCCTAATTTTAAACCCTAAATAACGAAAGAACCATTGCACGTATACAAAATATTATCCATAATGCCCAACTTCAATAACACATAAAAACACAAGAAAACAATCAGAAATATCATGAAAAATAACAATCAGACCTTTATGACTTCTATGTTTCTGGTGGAGGAGAAATCGATGGTACACAAAATACTCGGATTCTTATTTTGGGATTGATTTTGAAAAAAAAATAAACACAATATTCAGATGATCTAATGGGCGAAAAATCCTATGACAATCATTCACTCCATTTGAGCAGATGATTGAAAATGTTAGAGCTCTCTGAGAGAGACGACTAAAAATGAAAATGAAATGAGTGTTTTAGGTAAAAAATGAATGGGAAATAAGTTGGTGCTTAGTGGATTTTTGCGCTTAACACGTGGCAGGTTTTAATTCGTTTATTGATGACTGGGTTGCCATGTTTGTAAAATTATAATGCACGCTCTATGATTCAACTGTCAGAGGTGTTTATTAGTTCACTTATGCTCAAGTTGAAGTGTTCATTTGGAAATTTTAAAAGTATATTTACCGGCAAGACAATCGGGTGCAAGTTCATGTGGCCAGGAGGCCTTGTTGCTTACTATAAAATATGAGTTATTTTAAAACTATCATCAATCAGAACCTTTTGAGGCAGAGGGTGACCTTTATGATTTCTTGGTAGATATGGCATAAGATGTTTAGTAATATGTATCCAAAAATATATTAAAAAATTAGTAGTAACATAAAACCAGAAATTTAGAAGACATAAAAAATTAATTCGAGCTGAAGCCAAACAGAGCGACAACGGCACAATATTTGCTTTTTTCTCAACTCTTTAAGAGCTAAAAGAAGTGCAATTGTATATATATACCCATCAAAACTCTTTTCCTCCTCCAATATGGGACAATGTCCATTTGTCAAAGAGAAAAATTCAAAATTTTTATTTTTTCCTTCATTTCCCAGTCACTCTATTTCCCAGTCAAAATTTGGCATCAATTCAGATATAGCTTGAACAAGTCCCTTGAACAACAAAAATACACTATTAGAGTTCATATAATGCAAGCTTAAGTATTAAAGTAAAAAATAAAATTAAAACAATACACATACCTTCCGCATATCAGACATAATTCTTAGCCCTTCACCTTCAAATTCTGTCAGTTTCAAGTCCTCTATTAGACACCTAAAAAACCATGATCAATTGTTTTTGATCTCTTTCTCAACCACTGCCCAAACAACAGGGTACATCTGGTTATTACTATCCTTAGAAATGCATGACAATAGCTCACTTTTACACACTCCCTTCATAAATGCACCATCAAAGCCAATTATATTTCTACACCCTTCTAACCAACATGTTTTCAAAGCATGTAAACAAATGTATATCCCCACAAAGACCTCTTTACCAGATTCAGTTTCTTTTGAAGTCCTCACCACGACAATGTTGCCGGGGTTAGTAGTTCTTATCATGTCAGCATAATCATAAATCCTAGCAAACTCTATTTTGTAATCACCTAAATACTTACCCATTACCTTCTGTCTAGCTTTGGCACAGAGGAGAGTTCAGCTGTGTGTTAACACTACCAAGCTTCAATTTGAAAAAATCATGAAGTAGGGCTTAAATCAATAAAAAAGGTCTTTACTTTTAAATTTAATACTTTTGAGTTCTTTTTTAAACTTTTTGAGTAATTATCAAACTGACTTTTGAGAATTTGGGTATTATATGAAGGACTAATTCAACAAATTTTGTTTTAATTTGAAAAAGTCTCTAGGGCTTACTCCTTACTAAAACAATGCGCCCCGAACGCCCAGGTGTGCGCCCCGAACCCCCGAGCATACGTCCCAAATTGCGGGGCGTGCGCCTCTTGAGACTTTTGCCCCACACCATCGCCCCGGGGCATTTTTGGTACGCCTCGCCCCGGGGCTCGCCTCAGAAACGTCTTTTAAAATAGAGATTTATATCATTGGTAGGTGAGTTTGTTGCCCTAGCATTAGCTCTACTTGTTTGCTTTTGTGGCACTTCACTAAAGCCAACTGTTTGGTCATATGAAGTATCACTAGGGTCCACACCACTACTTAACATTTCATCCAATTCAATATCAACACATGGTATATTAATAGTGTGACATAAATAAATATCAATAAAATCCCCATCATAAAGGTATTTGCAGAATTCTAACATATCAGCATCATACTTAATAAATTGAAATGCTCCTTTTTTATTGACTTGACATGCAAATTTCTCCAAACCTAAGTACCCCATATCATTTGCCCATTTATTGAATTAAATAACATGCAATTCATCAATGTTAGCAGTTACAATAGTAGGCCATGTTATACCATTTTCATACCTCATTAATGGGCCAGCTACCTGTTATCCCTCATGGTGAAATTGTAATTTCACAAGAACAACCATCCAGCCTCACCTCACTACGCCTATGAAGAAGATAAGCTAAGTCCAAATTAGTAAAATATTTAAAAGAAAAAAACAATATTGTCTGAACACGTCTTTGAAAAAGAACAAGCAAATACGGGAAAAGAATCCTAACTTTATCACTTTAAGAGATAAAAATTTTCGATATGATAAAAAGCCCTAATTGTTTAACCCTATATGCCAAATCAACCATGGAACCGACAAAATTCAGAGAAAAAATAAAAATTTAGTGTGTTATTCCAAAAATCCCTAATTTTAAACCCTAAATAACGAAAGAACCATTGCATGCATACAAAATATTATTTATCATGCCCAACTTTAATAACACATAAAAACACAAAAAAATAACCAGAAATTTGATGAAAGACAACAATCGGACCTTTATTGACTTCTATGTTTCTGGTGGAGGAGAAATCGACGGTACACAAAACACTCAGATTCTTGTTTTGGGACTGATTTTGAAAGAAAAATAAACACAATATTTAGATGATCCAATGGGCGAAAAATCCTATGACAATCGTTCACTCCATTTGAGCAGATGATTGAAAATGTTAGAGTTCTCTGAGAGAGACGACTGGAAATGAAAATGAAATGAGTGTTTTAGGTAAAAAATGAATGGGAAATAAGTCGGTGCTTAGTGGATTTTCGCGCCTAACACGTGGCAGGTTTTAATTCGTTTATTGATGATTGGGTTGCCACGTTTGTGAAATTGTAGTACACGCGCTATGATTCAACTGTCAGAGGTGTTTATTAGTTCACTTATGCTCAAGTTAAAGTGTTCATTTAGGAATTTTGAAAATTTATTTACCGGCATGACAATCGGGTGCAAGTTCAAATGGCTAGGAGGCCTTGTTGCCTACTATAAAATATGAGTTATTTTAAAACTATCATCAATCAGAACCTTTTGAGGTAGAGGGTGACCCTTATGATTTCTTGGTAGATATATGTCATGTGAGGGCATAAGATGTTAGTAATCTATATCCGAAAATATATTAAAAAATTAGTAGTAACATAAAATCAGAAAGGTAGAAGAAACAGAAAATTAATTCGAGCTAAAGCCAAGCGGAGCGATGACGAGGCGCGACTTGCCATCTTCTCAACTCTTTAAGAGATAAAAGAAGTGCAATTGTATATATACCCATCAAAACTCTTTTTCTCCTCCAATATGGGATAATGTCCCTTTGTCAAATAGGGAAATTCAAAATTTTTATTTTTCCCTTCATTTCCCGGTCACTCTATTTTAAGCTATAACTAGCTTAAACCCAACATAAGAATGTTTTGATATTGACTTCAAACAAATTATGTCCTGAAAAGTAACACTATCATCTATCAGAACTTTCTGCAGAATTATTTTTCAATTTTCCGTTTTCTTGTTCTCTTTCATTATTTTCATCCAGTAATGAATTCAAGGTTGAACTTATCCCAAGAGTTTCTGAAATTCTGTGAGAATTTTTCAGCTTCATAATCAAAAGGATCTGGTTCTGCGTTAACACATAACGTCCACACCTGACACCTCGCTTTGGCTTGTTTCCCATAATTCAAAACTACTACTCTAATAAAGTTACAGAAACATCAAAAGCTTACGATTTATCTCAAACACTTGTCCATGTCTCTACCAAGTCGTTCCAAAGAATATTCCATTCATTTTCTAAAACCACTTCCTTCCCGTTTTCATCCCGAATTTTTTGTCTACATACGTACTATATTTTGGCTACATTCGGCAATCTTGGTCGTGAATGGAATTTAGGAATGGATTTCTCCCAAATTCCGTCCATCCACCAATGCCGACGTAATACACTTAGAATTTGGGAAGGTATCTGACGATAATTCTGGATACCAATGATGTGGAAAGTCTAACGTGTCATCGTTCAAAAATACCACCAATTTTGAGTTCTTAATGAAAGGTCTCCTCATTCATTAGAAGAAGTTATCACGAACGAGCCACATATTTGAATATGTCATTGCGTCATTATTTCTTGTGTTCCGTCTGGCCAAGGAAATTAATGTAAATGAGGTTATGTGCAAACAAATAAAAGTAAAACTATTTTGCGGATGAGAGGGAGTTATGGTCTGCGAAATGAGGAATTGGAGAATTGTGGGGTATTTGGTATGTTTCCTTGAGGACATACATTTGCCTATGTCAGCCTTATCTTTTCCCTCTTTAGCATCACTTCAATACTCATCATTCTTGTTCGTAAAATAAGCTAAATTAAGTTTTTCAGCGGATATATTTTTCCTTTTAATTTGGTATGTTCTCTTGAAGATATACATTTGCCTATGTCAGCCTCATCTTTTCTTTCTTGGCATTACTTCACTACTCATCATTTTTGTTCGTAAAATAAGCTAATTAAATTAGCTCTGCCAACTGCTCAATAAAGGAGGATATTTTAGTACTTTTTCATATTCATTCTGGTCCACTTTGTTTGACTCTATTTCTTACTATATTTCCTTAACATTAAATATGCTATTACATGTTTCCGACCAGAGATAAAGAAAAACAGAAAGAAGAGATAATAAAGTCATGTTGAGAAATATGAAGTTGCATAATTTTGGGAAACTATATGCATATCAAACCTTGAGAAACAAACACTTGTATAACTCATGTACACGCTTGTATTCTTAATTGTTCGTAACAGACTTCTGAAGGGCTTCACCAAATGCCAAAAGAGGTTTTCTCACACCTTGTCTTTTAGCAAGTCTTATGAGTTCGATCATTACTAAGAATTTTTTGATACTGACTTCAAACAAAGAATGTCCCAGAAAATAAGACCACCATCAATTTTCTCCTTTTTTCCCTTGTCCTCGCTCTTTCACTATTTTCATTTAATAATGAGTGAAATGCTGAACATATCACTAAAGTTTCTGAAATTCCGTGAAAAATATTCAACTTTATAATCAAAATTCAAAAGAATATTAATAAACTCTTCAAGAACTCAATTATATTTTTTGTAAGAAATTCCTTCTTCTAAAAGCCAGCAAAAGTAGACAAAACATGACAACAGACTCACCAATATTTATGATCTCTTTTTGTTGTAGCACAGACCATAACTCCTTTCCTCCTTTATCCCAGTCTACCTCCATCTTCCCAACCCCTTCTTTTTACCATGATGAAGGAGCCGTTAGAATTCTCTGAAAGTTCTTCCAAAAATTCTCCTTGTTTATCCATTGAAGAGAAGTTGAAAGATCATAGCAATAAATCTGGAGGGGTAAGACCATATGTTAGATCCCAAATGCCGCGACTCCGATGGACACAAGATCTTCATCGCAGTTTTGTGCATGCTGTTGAGAGACTTGGTGGAGAAGATCGTACGCTACCTCTCTTTTTTACCTTTTCTTGCATGAAAATTAATTATATGCATTTGAATGAGCTAGCTGTGTATAGAAGTGTATGAAAAAGGGGCATTTTCCTTTCTCAATTAAGTATTTACAAATTACAAAGTTTTTTTCTTTTTAAAAGAGGAGTGGACCTATGATGTCTTTAGGAGAAAGGTTAATTTACTTCCACTAGCTATAGGAAAAAGATATATCTCTACTATTCTTGCCTATTATTTCCTATTTGTTGATGTGTTGTGTTTAATTAATTTAGGAGCAACTCCAAAGATGGTGCTACAGTTGATGGATGTGAAGGGCCTGACTATATCTCACGTAAAAAGTCACCTTCAGGTTAGAGACAAAGCTTTCGATCTCTAGGGTTAATTGGAAAAGCAACTTTTTTGCTTCTATTTATTTTCTCTTTTTTTTTGTTTCATATCTCTAGCTTTAATATCTATTTTGATATGAATAGATGTACAGAAGCATGAAGCATGAACAGATGATGCAAGGTATGCATTTAATTTCTTCTGATCAAACCCAATTTTATTTATATGTTTTGTGTATGTATTATATATGTGAACGAGTTCAGCACCAAATTAACTTCTTTTCATTTGGACTTCTTCTTTTTAAATTCTTTCTTGTCTTTAAACATGGAACTGTTTGACCGGATTGAAACTTGGTTTTATTATCTAATGAACCGGAGTCAATTGAATTTAGTTTACAGTATATGTTTAATTTATCAATAATTGAGAAAGTACTAGGTAAGATTGAGAAATTTAGAATATGCATAATATATAACAGCAGGAATTATAATCTGAGAGAGGTAAGATCCTAAGATTCACAACCTCCAAATGTATACAACCCAGTGAAATCTCACAAATAGGGTATAGGGAGGGTAGTGAGTACGCAGACCTTACCCTTACCTTGAGGGAGTAGAAAAACGACATAAGAACCAAAAAATAGATGAAACGCAATAACAATAACAAGTAAATAAGACACTATACTATGGAAAACGAAAGAATAGTGTGAACACAATATTAACCACCGGCAATCTAAAACGAAACCCTATCAGGCTAGCCTCACACCCGGTACGAAGTAGAAAAATGCTCAACTACCTCCTAACCTACAGCCCTAATGCTCAACCTCCACACCTTCTTATCAATGGCTTTGTCCTCGGAAATCAAGCCACATCATAACATCTCCAAATGTAATTATTTATATTATAGTTTAAAAATTCATTTTTTTTTGTTACAGCTGAAGCAGAAGCTGCAAATGGGGGTAAAAGGAATAGAATGGATGGGGCAGCCAATGGGAACTATCATCACTACTACAATATTAATGACAAAGCCTTCTTTGGTGCCCATCCTTGGTTCGTCTAATTAACTTTTCGGAGTCTCTTTCTTTTTTCTCATCAATGAGTTCATGTAATTAAATTCCATTTTTCTATGAAAAGTTATAGGAGAAATAGTGAGTTTGATTTCTCTGCACTAGGAGCATGAATAATTTTTACACGATCAATATAACTTAACAATAATGTTGTCTAGCTTATTTTTCAGGCTATTAATTTCAGTTTATGAGCTGCATTATATAACTTAAACTCTTGCTTAATTTGCTCAATTACAAGTAGAATAAGCTAGTAACCTAAAATGAGAGACATGTAATCAGCTCTAACATATTAAATTACATTGATTGTAAAAATATTCTTTAGAATGCTGTTGTTGTACATATATAAGTGCACTCTTGCTTACTTAGGTCCTTTTACAGGAAACATATGCAAGAGACCAAGGAAAATAGGATCATGGGATTGGAAGGAAAGTCTAATTATTACACCATGTTCAGGGATATTTTCAATGGCCACAATGTTCAAGTAAATATAAACGAAATCTCTGGCTTTCTATAAGCTATAATTCTTTAAGTCGATACAATAAATTGGAAGCATTATATATTAGATTGGTACCTATGACTACTTAACTAATTAGTAGATATTTTCTGCCTTTTGTAGGATGTTGGCGACGGGAATAAAGTGGTACGAGAAGCTAGCAGTTTGTCAAATAAGAGTCCATCTGCTTCAATTATTGAAACTACAGGAGAGGAAGATTTCTCCAGTAGCACCATGTCCTTAGACTTAGAGCCATCTGCCAGTTTAGATGTGAATAATATCTCTCTTGAGCTCACCCTTGCTTAGTATATATCTTTTGGTCTGTTTCTTGCACAACCACCGCTCTTCTGAATTCACCGGAAAAAGGCTTTTCATTATCCTAATTTTACTCTCAAGTCCTTGAGATCTTTTGTCATATATGGTAACCAAGCTAGGTAGAACTTTGTACTAATTAATCAGTTTTTGATCAATCTGAAAATCGTTTAAACTTTAGTATCATGACACTTTTGAGGGTAAGATGTTGGGTTCGAATCTCAACTTTAAATCCAATTAGGGTATAAGACATTCTTTTAATTCCAATTTTAATTATGATTCGGCCTAACTCTCAACTTTTGTACTCAAATTGTGTTAGATGCATGCTTTATTACTATATTGTGAGTTTATGGGATGTCGAATTCGATTATGCTTTATGTTTTTCCCGCTGCTACGAAAAACTGTACGTTAAATTATTATTATTATTCGTTTTTGCATTGAGTTATGAACGTTGATTGCTTAGTTAGTAGTTGCTCGCTAAGTGTCAAACAGGACCTCTAATTGAGTTTGGATTGTGACAGCTACGATTTGATAAGAGCATCTATCATTGAGTTTAATTTCACTACTTTTAATTTCACTAAAGTCACTTAACTATTTTTTATCACTTAAAAGTAACTAAACTTTATTATTGTTACTTAAAAGTCATTTTGGCTCAAACCCTACCATAAATATGACAAGGCATAATATTTAATGAGAAAAATCCAAAAATAAATACCACATAAGCTTAAATGGGTCATACCCACTAAATCCATTTCTCCCTTAATGTGATTTGACCCATAACCCAAATGGGTTTCAATAAGGGAAAAAACGCATACCCCCGATAAAATTAGGTCTTGTGATTTTTTTGGGGTTTTGATCGTATAGATACAATCTTTTTTTATATATATTAATTACGTCATATGATGGCATGGCCCTATCATTCAACCAACAAAGAGTACAAAAATATGAAGGGGGCCTATGTTGTTACCTCGCACAAAGGAGGCAACGGTTACCCCTATTTACTAACTATTTACTTCCCTTATGCATTACATACAAAAACAAAAGTGCGTTGTGCAGTTTGGCATATACACCATTGCATATACAATAACCTACCAATCAAAAAAACTCTTCACCAAAAAGTATTCTTCCTATGTTTATGCCTTAGTGACACCATCTGGATGTAATCCAATCTGTAAGGTCCAACTGTAGAAAAAGGAAGAGCATGATGAGAGAAAATAAGAAGTTCTTCATTGTCAATGCTCTATTTTGCTAATGCATCCGCAACTTAATTAGCTTCTCTATAACAATGGCGATTAGCATAATTGAGTTGACCGACAATGTCTTGAATCTGTCTGATAATGCCCTGCATTTGCCAAGGAGGTTTTGGTTTACCATTGATCAAATCAACCACAAGCTGGGAATCACACTCCAGTATAATGTTGTTGCAACTATTGCGACTACACCATTCCACCCCCGCTAAGGCTGCACTAGCTTCAGCCATGTTGCTACTTGTTCTGCAAATTGAAGAAGCAAATGCCATAGTTAGCTTATCCCTATAATCTCTGCATATGCCACCAATACTCGAATTTCCGTCCGTGTCTTTGCTTCCATCAGTATTAATCTTAAGCCAATATTCAGGAGGTTTATGCCATTTAACAACTACGTAATCAATTTTGGGAATGAATAATAACACATGTCGACAGATATCAAAATAACTCCCTGCCCATTGCCTATTACACTTAGCGTTTGATATCACAATAACAGATAAAATCTTTCTTTTGTCTAAACAATTGCAATAGGTTGTGCTTAAATGGACCATACCCACTTTAGATCTATTTCTCCCTTAATGTGGTTTGACCCATGACCCAAATGGTTTCGATAAAAAAATATTAAATTCCACATTAGTTTAAAATAATTATCCTGTACTACAAAATTCTTGCCTTTTCTGTTACATAATGCCCATTTATAATTATTCTATACTAAAAATTTATTCTCTTATTTGTATGCCTCATCCGAGTCGTTTTATAACTCTACTGAAGTTAAAATACTACTGTATCCAACTCACATAACATATTTATAATTTTTTAGTGAAGTTAAAATAGTATTGTATCTAGCTCACATAACATATTAATGTATCATAAGCATACAAGAATAACAAGGCTAATAAGAATCTATTTTCATAAACTATCATTCTATTAATTTCAAAATGTTGCTTATTAAGCAACACCAGCATACAAATAACCTGCTTAGTAAGCAACACATGTAATTAAAGTGCATAACGAAAATTGTCAATAGACATGCAACTATTATGTGGTATTTATTTTTAGATTTTTCTCATTAAATTTTATGCCATGTCATATTTATGGTAGGGGTTTGAGCCAAAATGACTTTTAAGTGACAATGATAAAGTTTGATTACTTTTAAGTAACAAAAAATAATTGAGTGACTTTAGTGAAATTGAAAGATAGTCGAAGACCATGAGTGAAATTAATCATAAGAAATTAACCTCCTTCATTGTTTAAGAAATTTCAAGAATTGATCAATATATACATTATTAAGAGATGCTAATAGCCAACACAGTATCCAAACAATTAACTATGTTAAAAAATACACATGTAAGATGATTAAAGAATATGTTCCGCTACTACTACAAGGATATGTAAAACATCAGAAAAGCTTGCTTGCAAACTCGTCTGAATCTGCTTTCAATGAAGAAGAAGCAGCAAGATTTCTTAGATCAGATAAGCTCCTTCCTAACTTCAAAGCCACCTTCATTTCAAACAATTCACCATTTTCTCTTCTACCCGTTTCTGTTTCTGTCAAGTTAGATTTAATTGACTCTTGCATGTACTCGAAGAAACCAGCGTTACTCCTATACATCTCGAATACCATTCCAACTTGTCCACCATGCTCAATTGTGTTAACTACACTTGCCAAAGCGCCACCAACAATTCCAAGCATAGCTGCCCAAGATCCATGAGAAGGAGAAGAACCTACAAATGCCGAGCCAATCGCTGCTAGGCCTGTGAGAAAAGGACCAGAGATGGCTAAAAACTTATTCAATTTCAAGGCCTTTTTACCCAGCCTAATATATTCTTCTTGGTCCTTTCTGCCCAACACACCCATTATTTCTTTCATTTCCTCCTCCAATTTACTGTTCCAGTCATTTCCATTGTCGCTGACCCTGTTAGGCTGTCTACGACGTTGTTGAGGCCACCAAACAGCAGGTTCAACACAAGTTGGAAATTTTTCAAGCATTACTTCAAGAAGAGGGAGTGGGTAGGCTTTGTCAAGAGCCAATACTTTGTCAATAGCTTCTTTGACATCAATCGCTGAAGGATGACCGATTGATAAAGTTGTTTCGATTTGGTTATAGAGATCTTGAAACAGCCTTGTCGCCTTTCTTTGTTCTTCAGCAAGCTGGGATGGTTGAATTTTGTTGATGATCACCAACATCCCAGTAGCAGCCAAATACATCAAAGTAGAAGACATTTTTAGTCCCAAAACAGAATCACCACTAGTAGCTGCAACTCCAATCATTGTAGCAGCAGCTAGAATTATTCCATTAATGGACGTCAAAAGCATACTGTTCCACTGGCTTCTTTGCTCCCCTATATTCCTGTGCATCTCTACTCTATCTGCAACTGCCTCCTTGATTGCGTAAAGCTTCTCGACAGCAAGCAGATCAGGATCATTAATCATATCACCTCTTTTTGAAGGGGCGCTAATAAGTTGTTTCTCAATTGGGTTGAAGGNATATATATATTTCTCTAAAAAAAATTATATGTATATATTGATCTATGCTGGAAAAGAATGGAAGTGTTTCCTTTGAATTCGTTGGGGGTTATGCTGAATGCTTCGAATTGGTAATGTGTTTGTGATTATGGCAAAGGAGGGGTTTAGAGATGGCATATATATATAAGGAGAGTTGACGAATGGAAATAGTACGTGTTGTATATTATTTTCAGCAGTTGTATTGAATGGAAGTACATGGCTAAGATTATTTTTTAGGCTTCAGTCTTGGTGACCTCGGGCGCGCAGTCATAAACTTTGATATTGTCTCTATTTCAGGTATAATTGGCTACTTTTGACATTGACTTTCAAACAAAACTTTTGTAGAGTATGAATTTTGAAACGACCAACCTAGGGGTTTTCATTCTCCTTTTCCGTTCTTTGAAAACTACGTCTCTTTGGAATGATATCTTCAAACCCAATAAAACAGTTGCTTTTCCTAAACGTAGAATTATCACTTTTGCTTTCTTTCTTTAAGTTATCAATTAAAAGGTCGAAAATTATGTATAGGCCAGCCAAGATCATAAATCAGAAGTTAAGTAAGTTCCTTGTTAAGGTTTTATTTATGTAAACAAATAGATAGGATCTATTTTTGACCGATCATTTCTTTCTATTTTTGTTTGAGATAGTTTAATCATGTTTTGTATTGATCTTCAAATGAACTGGTCCGTAGCTTTGAAATCTTGGTGAGTGAAAGTTTTAAATGCGGATGAGGTAAACTTAAAATACCATAGAATAAAGTTGTCTCGAAAAAGATCTAAAATTTCTCAGAATCATTATAAATTTATCGAAAGATAAAACTACAATGGAAGAAAAAGATTTATATATAGACTGTACTAGTTAGTTGAAAAATATTCTAGTCGTATTAATATGTACTTTAGATCTACGCTTTCTAGGAGTATTAATATTCTAGTCGTATTAATATATGTACGTTATCTTTGCTTTCCAGGGGTATTCTATCCCTATCAGTGTAGGAAATATAGAGAACCTGCACTCGTTATTTGTTTTTTTTTTGTAATGTTAAATGGGGAATATTTTTAGTAAAAATTCATATATTCAATCTTAATTTATTTGGGACTGAGCCGTAATAATTATTGTTATTCGTTTGAACTTCGGTTATTCCATTTTTATGCTGCAAATTAAAACGTAAAACAATTTTTGAATTTGGATCATATTTTTTTCATTTTAGTTGGGTACCTTGATTATTATCATATTATATTATGCACGCTTTGTCCCTAAGTACGCATATAATATTTTCTTGTATCCCAAAGTATTACTCACTTTCCTCTAAATGGAAAATTACACACATTTGAAAGAGCACAAGAAATATAATTCAACTTGTTCCCCAACAAAAAGTATTGCTAGTATAAATTATTTATATATTTAATTTTTGTCATAGTAATATGTTTCTGAGCACCCAAATTGGAACGAAAAGAGCATGTCATGTCTTTGTCATGCTTGCTTGTGCAAACGCCATGCATCCCTACAAATTCTGCACATATAACTTGACAAAAATGACAGCAATTTCAAACAAAATGCAAGCAATGTTGAAGTTTCTTTCTACCCATATACTATTGCTGGTGTATATCGTACCGCTATAATTTCTGCAAATATCGTCCAAAATAGATGTCAGAATGTCGAAAAAATGAAAAACAAAGTTGAGAATTTCATTTTTAATACTAGTAACTAAATGTGAGAAGCTGCGCATATTGAATTGGGATATGAAAACCGTCTTTAGCTCGTATTATGTCAAATAGTAATCAAACACCACTGATTATCGAAGTCATAAAAGCTACGTAAGAATAGGCGTTAGCTGTGCGAGGATGTAATATAGACTAATAGCTTTGCGGTGGAATCGCGGTATGAGTCATTTACCATCTTAACCGGTAATTATAGACCATTTATCGTCTTTTGACTTCCATTTTCGACATACATTTTTTTGTAGTTTTATGATCAACATAGCATTTGCCAAAGGAGCAATGAATCCCCAATTTCACCGGCGTCTTTTTTCGTGTAAGATGGAGGAAGAAAAAATGATACAGTATAGCCGCTGTAAAATTAATATTCGAATAAATTTATAATATATATATATATATATATATATATATATATATATATATATATTGGCATTTATTAAATCATCTATTTGTCATGCCTCAATTCGAATTTGTTGAATTTATTTTTGTATGACAATTTGATGTGATTATTAACTGTATATTTATGTGAATTCCGTGAGTTTGGTGATTTGACATTTCCTAAAAATAATTATATTTTGGATTTTTCATCTGCAAATAATTAATGAAATAAGTTTAAACTGAGGCGTTAATATAATTATCAAGAATTTGGATTAATGGAGGTGTTGCCCTATACTGAGTATTTTCTATCTCTATTGTTGTTTTGAGGTTTTATACACATTGTGTGGAGCCTTGGGCTATTTGTTGTAAAATTAATTAATTTTGTTATATCTTTGGAATTAGTTGTGGCCATTGAGCAAATTGTGATATGAATTGATTTTGTTATGTTGCCGTGATAATATTCCGTGTAAATTATTGTGTTATTTGAACTATTATTATGTGGGTATAAGGGTGACATTCCACTGTTGATATTATGTGGGTATAAGGATGGCATTTCACTGTTGTTATGTGTGTTGGGATATTGCCTAGGCGGAGTAATAAGAGTGGATATGGGAGATATAATGGTCGTTATAGGAGCGATAAAGGTGGCTATTGATATTGTCAGGGCGGAGGGATAAATGAGGCTATTATAGAAGTGATAAGGGTGGCTATAGGAGAGATAAGGGTGACTATTGTCAGGAATGATATGTGATGATGTGGAGTTATTGCGTTGGAAAATTTTATGTGATGTTGTGATTTTTCTTGTGTTTATTTCTATATCTTGTGCAATTTGTCTTGTTATTTCGGTAAACTTGATAATAGTCTGATCTATGTTGAAAATAGGAGCTTGCGGCTATTGCCAGGCGGATTATGAAATGAAATGTGGGCACGAGGTGTCATGAGTAAATAATGATGATATTGGCACGTGAATTAGCCGTACAATTGTAATATGAAATGTGGGTACGAGGTACCGTGGTTAAATAATGATGATATTGGCACGTGAGTTGTCCGTGCAATTGTGATATGAAATGTGGGCACAGGGTGCCATATTTAAATGATGATGATATTGGCACGTGAGTTATACGTGCGGTTGTGATAAAGAAATTGGCACGAGGTACCGTAAAAATATGAAAGTGAGCTGAGACCCGTATTTTATGATTTTGAAATGAGGTGTCACATGATGACTTTTATTCGAAAGATATTTATTTGAAGAATTATATTTGAAAGAGATTTATTTGAAAGATATTTATTTGAGGGAATTATATTTGAGAGAGATTTATTTGAAAGAATTATATTTGAAAGATATTTATTTGAAGGAATTATATTTGAAAGAGATTTATTAAAAAGAATTATATTTGAAAGATATTTATTTGAAGGGAGTATATTCAAAATATATTTATTGGAAAGTATTATATTCTGAATATTATTTTTTGAGAAGCATATAGGCGAAAGATTTATATTTGAAGGAATAGATTAATTTATTGTACTTGTATTTATTAATTATGGAGCAATATTAATGGTGTTCATGTTTCCCTTCTATGTATATCACTGGTTGATTAGTGTATCCATTATTGTTATTTGTTTTCTATTATTCTTATATACTATATTGCACAGGTTATTAGACTAGTGAGTGTCTTGACTGTACCTCGTCACTACTCCACTGAGGTTAGTCTTGATACTTACTGGGCACCGACTGTGGTGTACTCATACTACACTTCTGCATATTTTTGTGCAGGGCCAGGTATTGGAGATATCGGACTCGAACATAGTTAGAGTGTGATCGCAAGGATTCAAGGTAGAGCTGCTTGGTCGTCGTAGTCCCTTGGAGTCTTTCCATTTTATTGTATTGTTAATTATTAATCAAACAATATTGAGTATTCGATCCTTGAGATCACTTCATGTATTCAGTTAGAGTTTGTGACTCGGTATTACCAGTCTTGGGAGGTTGTTTGTAATTATTTCCGCTGTTGGTTTTGACACTTGCATTATAATTATATGTTTAAAAAATAAATTGGCTTGAATTATAATTATAATCGGCTTACTTAGTCTTAGAGACTAAGTGTCATCACGACGCCTGTGGTGGAATTTTGGGTCGTGACAGGACAAGTCAGAAAATATGCCTTTATAATAATAATAAGAAACTATCATAAAAAATAAAATGCCCTCTTAAAAACGGCAAATACAATTAGTCTATTCATGTACTTCTTGTAACAGAAATCAATTTAATAAATCGATAATAAACTCGGTAAATACTATATCATAGCAAATCTTTATATTTGGGAGGTTTCAAAGAAAGGATCATGTAATCTGTATCACTGTATGGACCCCTACGTAAAAGGAGTCAAATATAACTGTAGGTCCCTACTCGAGGGAAAACTGTAATTGTATGCTAGTTCTACCTTCCCACTAGCGAGAGTTATAACTGTAATCGGTAATCTGTAAATACAAGGTGCACCTGGTCTAACGAACCCGCCGTTACCTACGGGATCTTTCAAAGTCTCCTCCCATTAATAGCCTTTCTTATAAACAATCAACACTCGTATGAAAGCAATTTCAAAATAATAAAGGGAATATTATTTCTTATCAAATCATGTAATTTTATTTCGGTAACGGTAAAAATATCTAGTAACAACGAGAGTATTTAAAATAACAATAATCATCTCAAATAACCATTTCGGTATCATATCGAGTAAAGGACTTGCCCCACATGCAATTTCAAAGGATCGGTAACTCATTTATTTCTAAAATCATATATAAACCATGCATGTTATCAAAATACAAATTGCGGAAAGGTTACTACTCACAGTACTCGTGTCGAAATACCAAATATTTTACCTCGAGCAGTTCGTACGACTTCCTCCAATCAATCTATAATTACATAATATCGATCTCATGTTAATTTCTTTATTTAGGCTAATTTATAGCTAATTTAGAATACCCAACCCTCGAGGTTTCATATTTGACTCTTAATTCGTCGAATTATATTTACCCACACGATGAGTAATTACTAATCTATCAACTCCAACCTAGTCATATAATTTATTAATCCAATTTCATAAAGTTTTATGGATTCTTCAGGAAAATAATTCTCAATTACGTGAATGAACTAGTGTAATTTTTATTACTTTGTAGAATCTTTTAATCATGGGAAACGAAATTAAAATTTACCAGAAGAAGAAGCAGAAGTATTACCCATAAGACTCAATTAGTACTTAAGATTCCTCAAGAGTTATAGCTATAGTTCCAACGCACTGCATCAACTTCTTCCTCCTTCTTTTCTCTTTTCCTTCTTTCTTTCTCTGTCCGCTTTTGGGTTTTTTTTCGTTTCTCCTGAAGCTTTTGCTTCGTTCCCCTTCCCCTAACCCTTTTCAATTTTTGGCAGATATGTTCTAATGAGCTTCGGCCATTTTGTTTCAATTCCTTATCGTTTTTTCCTTTATTTCTTTTTGTTTTATTAGTTAGTTCTATTTTTTTTCCTTTTAGACTTAAATTATTTACTAAATATCCAATATGTCCTCATTTAAAATATTGGGGTATTACATTCTGGAAATAAATGGAAATACTTCGCTTGCATATCTTTTTCTACTTCCCATGTAGATTCTTCAACTGTATGATTTCTCCATAATACTTTAACAAACACAATTTCTTTTGACCGTAGCTTTCTTACTTGCCTATCAACAATAGTCATCAGCTCCTTCTCGTAAGATAACTTCTTATCGAGCGGTATAGTGGTACTTCAAGCACCTGAGATGAGTCTGATATATATTTTCTTAGCATTGAGACATGAAATACTGGATGAATAAAAGACAACTCGGTAGGAAGTGCCAAACGATAAGTCGCAGCTCCCACTCGGTCTAGTATCTTATACGGTCCTATAAACCTGGGGTTGAACTTGCCTCTTTTGACAAACCGCATCACACCTTTCATAGGGGAGACTCATAGGAATACTTTGTCCCCAATTGTGAACACTAAATCTCTTCTTCTCTTATCTGCATAAGACTTTTGTCTACTTTGAGCTGTGAGTAATCTTCGTCTGATCAATTGGACCTTGTCAATAGCTTCTAGTACTAAGTAGGGTCCCAATAAGTTTGTCTCAGCAGCTTCAAACCATCCGATATGAGTATGATATTTTCTACCATGCAATGCTTCGTACGGTGCCATTTGAATACTGGACTGGAAGCTATTGTTGTAAGTAAATTCAGCTAAAGAAAGATAAACGTCCCAACTACCTCCAAACTCAAGAATGCAAGCTCTCAACATATCCTCCAAGATCTGTATAGGACGTTCAGACTGCCCGTCTATCTATAGGTGAAATGCAGTACTAAGATCTACTCATGTACCCAATGCTTCTTGAAAAGATTTCCAAAAGCGTGAAGTAAATTGTGATCCTCTATCAGAGATGATGGATACTGGAACTCCGTGAAGTCGGACAATTTCATTTAAAAATATCGTTGGATACCTTACTCCACCATATGTAGTCTTCACTGGCAAAAAGTGTGCTGATTTTGTTAGTCGATCTACAATAACCCATACAGATTCATAACCTCTAAGGGTTCGTGGTGGCCCGGTGACAAAATTCATAGTAATTCTTTCCCATTTCCACTCTGGAATTTCAATTTGTTGTAGTAGTCCTGCGGGTCGCTGATGCTCAGCCTTGACCTGCTGATAAGTCAAACAGTTAGAAATAAAGTTAGCAACATCTTTCTTCATACCTTCCCACCAATAAAATTGCTTCAGGTCATGGTATATTTTTGTGGATCCAGGATGTATAGTGTATCTAGAGTTGTGGGTTTCTTCAAGAATAGCATGTCTCAAACCATTTACGTCTGCTACCCATAGTCTGTCACCTGTTTGAAGAACACTCTCACTTTCAATAATCATATCCTTACTTTTACCAGCTAATACCTCATCTCTGTATTTGCATAATCGCCCATCCTCATATTGGGTGGCCTTAATGCACTCGACTAATGAATACTAGACTTGAACACAAGTTAACAATATATCTACTTTCCCACATTAAATTTGATACATGTACCTTCTAGTCTCTGAATATCATTGGCCAAAAGTCTTTTTGTAAGGGTTATATGTGCCAAACTTCCCATAGATTTTCTGCTCAATGCATCAGGTACCATATTGGCTTTTCTAGGATGATACAAAATAGAACAGTCATAGTCTTTGAGTAGTTACATCCACCGGCGCTGCCAAAGATTCAGATCTCTCTGCTGAAAAATGTACTTCAAACTCTTATGGTCAGTATAGATCTCACAAGTTTCACCGTATAGGTAACGCCTCCAAATTTTTAAAGCAAATACCATTGGAGCCATCTCCAAATCATGTGTAGGATAGTTTTGCTCATGCTTTTTCAATTGTCTCGAAGCATAAGCGATAACTCGACCATTTTGCATGAGAACGCATCTTAATCCCACCTTTGATGCATCACAAATCACCGTAAATCCTCCAGAACCCGATGGTAAAGCTAATATTGGTGTTGTTGTCAAACATATTTTGAGTTTCTAAAAGCTCTGATCACATTTCTCGTCCACTTAAACTTTGTATATCTCTATGTTAACTTGGTCAGTGGCGCTGCTGTTCTGGAGAAATCCTGCACAAAACACATGTAATAGCCTGCCAAGCCTAAGATGCTACGAATCTCTGTAGGAGAAGTAGGTCTGGGCCATTTTTGCACAGCTTCTGTCTTCTTAGGATGTACCATAATTCCATATTTGGATACAACATGCCCCAAAAATGATACTGAGTCCACCCAAAATTCACACTTTGAGAACTTAGCATTAAGCCAATGTTGTCGCAATGTTTGCAACACAGCCCTCAGATGATTCTCGTGTTCACCTTGGCTACGAGAATATATCAGGATATCATCAATAAATACTATTACAAATCTATCCAGAAACGGTTTGAACACCCTATTCATTAAATCCATGAATGCAGTTGGAGCATTAGTCAGGCCAAAAGGCATCACAAGAAAATCATAATGCCCGTACCAAGTTCTGAAAGCAGTCTTAGAAATATCTTCATCTTTGATACTAAGTTGATGATAGCTAGACCGTAGGTCAATCTTTGAGAAGTGGGCAGCTCTTTGTAACTGATCAAACATGTCATCTATATGAGGCAAAGGATATTTATTGCGTATCATTATCTTGTTCAAATGCCTGTAGTCAATGCACATTCTTAGAGATCCATCTTTCTTCTTTACGAACAGTACTGGTGCACCCCATGGAGATATACTCGGTCTGATAAAACTCTTATCTAACAAATCCAGCAGTTGTTGCTTTAGCTCCTCCAACTCTGCTGGTGCCATCTGATATGGGCGGTATCGATATGGGTTGTGTGTTAGGTGGCAAATCAATACCAAAATCTTTCTCGTACTGGAGGTAATCCTGGTAAATCCTCAGGAAATACATCAAAAAATTCTCTCACACTGGTACATTTTCTATACTAATTGTTTCCTTTCTTGTGTCATTTACAATAGCTAAGAGACCCAAGCAACCTTTCTTTAGAAGCCGTTGAACCTTCATAAAAGATACAACTTTGCAATTTTCTGGAACCTGACCCCCTTTTAGGACAAAGCTGGGCTCGTTTGGTATCTCAAACTTAACTATCTTTGCATGGCAATCGACGATAGCATAGCAAAAGGATAACCAATCCATTCCCATCAACATGTCAAAGTCAATCATATCGAGTACAATAAGGTCAGCTAGAGTATCTCTACCCTCAACCCGAATCCGACAAGCACGATACACGTATTGAGCTAATAGAGACTCTCCAACAAGAGTAGAAACTAGAAAAGGATCATCCAATAGCTCAGGCTGGCTACCAAACCTCAAAGAAAAGTACGATGACATATATGAGTGAGTAGCTCTCGGATAAATCAACACAAGTGCATCAAATGAACAAACAGAAAGAATACTTGTAACCACAACATTCGAGGCCGAGCATCTTGTCTAGTAAATGCAAAAAATCTCGCATGACCTCTACCAGCATTCATTTGTCCTTGATTATGTCACGACCCAAACCGATGGGCCGCGACGAGCACCCGGTGCCTTACTCAACCGAGTACCAACATAACATATCTTTTCGTATCATACTATCATAGATAATTGGGCTGGAGAGGCTGCCGTGAGATAAGTAGAATACAACATGAAATACCAACTTATACATAAGACATACGAGCCTATAAGACCAAAATAACCACTCGTACACTGAACATATGCCGACAAGGCCATACAATCTTTTACGTACATGACATTTATCTACAAGCCTCTAAGAATACATAATTGTCATAAAGGTTGGAACAGAGCCCCACCATACCAAACAATACACGTCTAAATCATACTGACCAAACAAGTAACTTCGGAGCAAATGGAGCGTACCAACACCTTCCGCTGAGCTGATAGCTTACTTGGAGGACTCTCGACCTGTCTATCGGAACCTGTGGACATGAAATGCAGCGTCCCCAGGCAAAAGGGACGTCAGTACAAATAATGTACCGAGTATGTAAGAAATAAAAATTAGTAAATAATAGACATGAGAGAGACATGGAGTAAAAGACTCGACATGTAAGTCCGAATAACTCTGTGAATCATTAATATTTTCAACGTCATGCGTATGCGTATAAATGCGTGACGATGCTTAGGTATATGCGTTCATAACATCATCAAGCCTCTGAGGGCATCCCATCATATCATCTCGGCCACTGTGGGCAAAATCATCAATGTATACCAGCTGATCAAGTGGTGGTGCGTATATAACGCCATAACCTTTTCCCATATCCCATATACATATAATATACGCGTATATAACGCCATCTGGTAATAGGTCAATGTACATGTATAAATGCATGAAATGCATAAGAAATATGTTAATAAGATTGCTTGAAATTTCATAAAATTAATATGCCTTTCGGATAAACTTTATCAAATACGTATTTTTCTAAGACCCATAAACAGAAGATATAATAATAATTCACATGGGGAATCAAGAATAAAGACACCCCTAGTATTTCTATGAAAAGAGTCATTTATGGAAATTGTGCATTTGCTCATTTCGTTTGAATCGTATTGATCATGCCAAAAAGAAAGAAGGGATAGCCTTAACATACCTGAACCGATTATCTTGACAATCCCTTTAATACCCGTTGATTGCGACAACACGTAATAGCGGATCGAAGTAGAAAAATATCCGTATGATATTCTTGAGAAAGATTGTACCGTGCTCTCTTAGAATTGCAAATCCCATTGATATTACGCAGTATAACTTCGTATGAAATTGTTGAAGGAGATTTGTTACTTATAGATGCATCTCTCTTAAAGAGATTTTTGTGAGCTCCATCCGTTACTTGAAGACTAGATATAAGCATCTCACTCTTTACTTTGTAGAGACAAACACCTCATTTAGGTGAATGAGAGGTCTTTTATCATAATGGGTGTAGGCCCACTCTTTTGATGACTTTGGCCACAAAGTCCTCTAATTGTGCCATCTTGCTTTGTGGGTTAAGACTCATTATCAAGAGTTCTTTGGGCTGCCACGTTGGAGTTTAATCAAAACTTGTCCAAATACACTAATTAAATAATTAATCTCCCACTAAGATCACTAATTATCCACATAATTAAGAATTACCTCAAATTACTTAAAATACTACTCACTTTTAACACACCTCATACACTTTACTATCATAGTCATGTGGTACCTTGTATGGCACTAGTCCATAAATACCGAGTATTATAGCTCGGACCATATTTTATCCCAAATTGTCAAACTTCGACGAAACTCGTTTTCTTCGATTCGCTTACCCTCTCACCGTCACGAATTTACTTATCACTTGTTTTGAAATAGCATAAATGCTTATAATCTCAAAATAATCTCATTTTTGAGCTTACGTCGATTAACTTACGACGAAACTTTAACGTATGAAAATGTGGGATGTAACATCTCATTTCCGAGCTTATATCAATTTACTTATTGCGTACTTTCACGTACGAAAACATAGGGTGTAACATCATTTCCCCCTTTAGAACATTCGTCCTCGAATATTGACTAATACACTTATCATTATCATAACTTATAGTCCTTGCGAATACTTTAGTACTCTTCTTGCCATCTAGGCAACTGTTCTGTGAATAAATCCAAAGGCCCGGACATTCCTCCCTTTTGGCCTCTTTCTCATACCATGACTTGTGGTCGGAATTTTTTTCAATCTCGTAAATATTGCTACCTTCTATCATGTAGCTTGTACGACTCGGACCTTGTATGTGCGCCTATGCGACTTTTCTCTCCTCTTTCCTCCATCTTTTAGCCAATCTATAGGCCTCACTTTGTGAACATATATAAAATTATGACAAGCTGTTCCTATGGGTATCATTAGTCTTACTACATCTAAGTAGGCCATACTATACCATAACTCTTACTTTGATTTATCCTTACTGAGGTCTGCTACCAAACTCCAGGTTACTTTCGTTGCTTATCCCATATGTATAAATCTAAGTCCTTTAATGCTTCCTCATTACTATTCATCTTAAGAATGACGACCTAATCTCATTTCATACTTTGTGACTTTTATCCATTCATTGTTGATTCACCTCAATATTGAAATACAATCTACCACTGATAACTTGAAACCTCTTACGTAATCACTAGGGCTCACGTTGCATCGAGGAACATTTGAAGTGATTAGACTGATCCACCTAGGGGCGATACTATACATTCAAAACCATATTTCATAGCATCCCAATGTGATTTTCCTCACGTGGGTATTTTAATCCCGTACAATTTATAAAATCATTACTCAATCGAAGGCCCAAACGTTATCCTTTACTTATCACAATTACACCCTCATTCTACTATCAGGGTAGCATTCCATATCTTCTAAATGCTACTAGTCTTAGACTCCTTTGAGTTCATTCAGGTTATACTGAGCTTTATATAACTTTGAGAAACCATCAGCTCTCTCGTTTTCGTGGGCTTAATCCCGAGGACTTATCCATTCTTGTTACCTTCTCACTCGCTCTTTCTTATCCTTACTCCTGCCTTCCTAAAACCTTGTCGCTCTACCATAATTTAGTTTGCAATTTACACATATCCATTTATACTACTCGCAACCTTCCTTCAACTTGCTTGC